CTTATTGCATGAATTCCATGTCAGTTCTTTAAAATAAAGATAATTTTTATTTGATTAGATCATGCAATTTATAATTTAATAATGACTCTTGGCAAACAAATGTTTTGAACTGTTTTATGCTTATTTTTTACTACAGTACTTTGAAAAGTAAAATATCTAAGCTTTAAATAATTGACTTGTCCATATTTATTTGATATTATTTAGTTGCCTGTTTCATGCAAGTTTTCCCTGCCTCTATACAATTTCAAAAATATCTCATTCATACCAACAGGCATACACTATAACTGTCCATACAATTTTCCACAGTGTAAGGATCTTTAAAATGTAATGTTTAACCATGAGCAAAATTTGAGCTACACTGAAGTGATGTCATATGGCCTTTCACTGCAACAGTTTCATTTATCTCATTGTCACAACTGCAGTCTTCACATTTGGTATTTCGTTCTCTCTTGCAAAACATTCCTTAAAACACATTATTTTTCTGCTTTAGACCCATCCAAAATGTGTACATTTTTATATTTATCATTTGTACATACTTGACAGGCCACATTTTGAAATACAATGTGATGTTTTTCTTTCCTGAATATTAAAAACTAGTTCTTTTTCTCTTTTTGTCAGAATATATAGCATTATATCTACAGTAACAACTTTTTTCTCAGCATTGTGCTTTGAATATGTGTTAATGTATTTTTTCATTGCTTATGGCTTTTGCTGTGCATGCATCAGAGGTCTTATACTTCTTAACGAAAAAAAAAATTCAGGAAAGAGTTCCTTTAGAATGCATTTCCTATCGGTTAAGAGAAAGCAATAACTGTAAACAATAAAACAAAAATCCCTTTATTCTGCCATAATAGTATATCTTCTGCCAAAATTGATTTTCTTTCTGCTCTACTTCATTCTTCAGATAACACATAAAACGTCACTTGGGAGAGACTGCTAAGTAAATAGGGATGTTTTGGATCATGATCCACTGTTTGTTTCAAAGACTTAGTTAAAACTTGTGACTGTTTGACTTATTGTTTATGGTTGTTAGCAATGTCCCAGGATGGCGGGAGTGATGTCTGTTTCGTTCCCTATCACAGAGGAGGCCAATGGTAGACGTTTCTCTCAGACAAATGGCCTCTAAGGGCTGTAAGACAGTCAGGTCACAGGTTCCATTAGCAGTAAAGTTTAAGCTGCTACCTGAAAGACGAGAAGCCAGGGGAAGGTGGGCATGTGGTGAGAGGAAAGCATGTTCCTATATAGGAGCAAGATTGCACAAAGCATCTGTCCTGGATGGACAGGCCCTAGACCTTGCAGTTCCTTTAAACTATGATGAGGAGTTTGAATGAACACAAAAGACAATGTCAGGATCAGTCAACTAATTGTGTGATTCAATCGGAGATATTTTAGCATAAATATATAAAATGGAAATCTTCCAAATATATTTCTTCAATAATCTAAAAGATTATTTCACTATAGTGAAAATAGTTTCTATATTGAAGCTGCAGATTTTTTATAGAGGGAGGCAGTGGCCTTGATTCAGATTTTCTTAATTCCCCAATTGGGTTGACCCCTTCTAACGACTGACTTAGCTGAATGCATTAGAACGAGCCCTAGTTTCTTCATCACTAGGATGGAGATAATAATAGTTAATGCTGATTAATATTATACAGAAATTGAGACTATACCTTTATTATATAAAATGCAGAGCACTTTTATAAATCTCATTTTTTCTTATGCTGACCCTATTTTTTTAAGTATACCAATTTTCTTTCAAAAGGAAGGAAAAGTGAAAAAAATTAAATGGTCCAAGGTGCCATACTAATGACTTGTACACACTGAGAAAAACTTTCACTTTCCTTGAGAGACAGCCTGGGCTAGCCAATGTGCAAGCATTTACCCACTTAATGGTCATAAGGACTCAATGAGATACATGCTGTTTTTGTCACCTTTTACACATAAGTGTATTGAGTCAAAGGCAATTCATATAATTTGTCCTAGATTGTCTGTTTAAAGTGGCAGAGTCAGAACTTGAACCAATGGAGTCTGGAGCCCACCATTTTACATACTAAGCTCCTTATTGGCAAGAAATATTTTTAGAAATATTATATATACGTTGTAGACCTATCATATTTTGTTCACTTGGTTATGTACAACATTTAAAAATATTTGAAGTAATCATGGTAGCTTGATTGTATAAGCATTTCTAAAGTGAGAAAACCAGTGCAAGAAACCAGTCAACAGCATTAAAATATTTTCTCACACATCAAAGGCCTTGTGCTACAACCACTAGCAAGCATTTTCACAGTCATTTGAAATAAAACACGAAGAGTGCACACACACGTTTGGAAAATGAATACTTGAATAAATACACAAGTGTATTAAATATCCCCATCTCAAGCAAGTTATTCTTGCTTGAGAAAACTCTTTCAAACAGGAAAGCAAGCTCAAGGACTGAATGATCAAATCACACTCATTTGTGTTTAGTCAGTTATAAAAAAATGCACAGGTCAGCAAGATCTCGATGTATGAGAATCCAATTAGAGCCTTCATACCACTAGTGAAGTAAAAAAGACATTTCAAAGACATTATAATTTTGTAAAACTGATTTATTTTGAAAAATGGCAATGATAAATTTAATATGCTAAATTAAATTTTCTGATTTTATTTTGGAATTTCAACCCCCCAAAATATTATTAAATTGTGAATACTGAGTATATATATAT